GTGTGTGTGTGTGTGAGGGAGAGATCAGATCTCCCCGGTGGTAATAAATAGCATATTTATTAATAATAATAAAAATAATAAAAGCTCGTCACGAAGGGCAATAAGAATTAAAAGATGTGATTTCAATAAACACGCCAGTTATTCTAGTCGAGAATATTTAAGAAAAAAAAATTCTAAATTTAACAAAAATATCAGTCGCCCAATAAGGGACTCGAACCCTTGACCCTCAGATTAAAAGTCTGATGCTCTACCGACTGAGCTAACCGGGCGCCATATCGATAGCAACAGCAAATACTATATATACTTTAAAAATCCACTGGCTCCTTTGTTTTTTTGTCCCTCAAGAAAAATAGATGATTGTAAATTAGTTTGAATATACAAATGTACATATTGTGGTTTCTGGAAATTTTTTTCAGATCATACATTTTTTCCTTCGCCCTAGGACTTGGCTAGGCCTATTTCATTTCTAGGCTAGTCGGGATTTCCCGTTCACAGTTCTTGTTTGCCAGTTTGTCAACTAGTATGAAAACCTAAAACTGGGTTTAAGTTTCATTATGTTCTCGGTTATCGAAGGCCTACTTCCCTTTCTAACTCATTTCCCGGTTAATGTTTCTGAAGTTGATATAGATTCTATTCAAGTATATCATGTTTGTTTTTTTTAAAGTATCATTCTTTTAGTCTCAGAAAGTATTCGGTAGGCCTAAATCTAGATCTAGAGTAGATCTACTTCGCTATAGACAGTATAGATCTACGCTTAAATTTTGCCCAATTTCCTTTTCTTGATCACAAGAAACGCCAGTTTGCAGTATTTTGCTGATTCATACAAATTTTCATGGTTATTTGTAGCAGCTACAACATATTTCAACGTACCTTATAGACATAAATAGTTTATAGAATTAATTTTCTAAATCTACCCAAGATTTCAAATGCTCATCGAATTATTGTTCAACCACCTGTTGATGATTTCTGCCCGGTCTGACATCTTTGTTGGGCACCTGGCCATATCGAAAAAGTGGCGGGACTTGGAAATTCCGTACTAAATTGCTCCAACTCCAGGCTCCAATGTTTGTTTGTCATTGTTTGGCTTAAATTATTGATTAGATTTACTGTAGATCTAAATCTAGGTCGTTACTACACGGACAAGTTAAGTGTCAATTGCCTGTTGCACACTTTGTGAGAAAGCTGTTCATACGGTGTGCTTGGATCCTTACAGTCAAAGGTCGAAACCCATTCAACTGATGAGTGAGTAGGCCACCAGATCTACAACAATACAACTGACGCTGCAGCTGGGAGTCACTCGAGGTGGAGGCTTTGGCATCTTTTGATTTTGAGGCAAAAGAAGGTAGGGGGCTATGTTATATGTCATTGTATACAGAAGATCTATAGATCTAGGCATGACTTACTGTCCTGGACAATGTCAGTAACAGGCTAATAAGTTTTGTATTTGTAAACGTTCATCAATGATGACCCTTTGCCTTTGCTTGGTCTGTTGGCTTTTTTTGTTGTTGGTGGGTATGCACGGCACGTGTGGTACAAATGCATCAAAATCAAGCCACACGCGATCAAAGGCCTTTTTTAAATCAATGAACACATGGATTGGAAGATGTCTTGCTGGTGTTGATTGTTTTTCTCGCACAGAACTCTGAGGTTGAATCTAGATATATCTGTTCTGTTGTACTTCTTCCATATGCCTGAACCCGGCTTGCTCTTCAGCAAGGAGTAGGAGTCTAGCCTGCTTAAATTACTGTTAGAGGACCTAATCTAGATTTAGATCTAGATCTAGGTTAAGATCTAGGCTTTCATCGAACCCAGACAGGTTTTTTTTTTACTAATTTACTCATTTTAGTACTTTAACCTGTTTTCCATGTTCACAGAGCTATAAAGACCGGGAGTTACTTTCTGGTTCAGACTTACTGAGAGATTTACCAAACTCTGATCGAAAATGGTGCGGACAAAGGCTGACTCAGGCTCTGGTGCCTCCTCCAGGAAAGGTAACTTTTTATTAGAAGCACATAATCATTTTTGCAGGTCAGAATTTTTGTCTTGTGTGACACTATTTGAAATTGTACTTCTTTTTTTTTTTCCTGCATGGGAATGTTTTTATGCCTTGCCAACCAATCACCAATATCAGCAGCGAACCTCCATATTGGCAGACACCAGAAATCACAATAAGGACGAGACTTCTAGACCCTTCTTGTGACAAGACCACACCAGAAGAAATCCTCAGGACTAGTGCCCTGGAGTCATTGGACTCGTATGCTGAAACTCCAATTCATGCATACACACAGATGGGTCAGCAACAAAAGCTACACAGAATGCTGGTGCTGATCTATCATCAAATATTGAAACAACCTTTGAGAGAAGAAGCAGACCCAACTATTTAGCCCTTGTGGAACATACTGCTCCAACTATGACGCAGAGAGAGTTGCCATAGTAAAGACACTGGAGCAGATCACCCAAGATTTTCTTGAAGGTGCAGTAACACTAGGGGATGTTGTTGTCTTCTCTGACTCAATATCAGTACTCCAAGCCGTCGAGGGAGGAGGAGACTACAGAGGTGACGGGAACATTCTCAGCGTTATAAAATCGATGGGCACTTCCTATGGCGTCAGGGTCACACTGCAGTGGGTGCCTGGCCATTCTGGAGTACCAGGGAATGAGACTGCAAACCAGCTATCAAAGACTGGAGCAAGCCTGCCTCAGACAGACACAGCCGCCTCTTTACAGACCTGCAGAGAGATCATACAAGCGGAAAGCAGCTCAACGCAGAAACAGGAAGATCTTTCTTCAGGTACATGGACAAACCCAACCCCAAAGACCCTTTGAATCTTTTATGTAAAACTGATTAGACATTGATCTTCAGAGCCCGCACAGGACACTTGCACACCAACAAGCTCATTATAAACAGTCTTAACCCCATGTGGGAACCCCATTGCAGACACTGTGACTACCACGAGGAGACCGTTGAACATCTTCTCCTTCACTGCTCAAACCTGGCAGGTATTCGACACAGGCTCCTACACACACCTACAGACTTACAAAGCCTGCTCTACTCTGGTGTTGACCTGATGACAAGGACATGTGGTTACTTGAGGGAGGCATTACGCTGCCAAGAGCGAAATTGAAATGCTCGCAGCTAAAGGGATTTGAAAACAACAACATACTTTACCAAGCTAAATAATAATAATAATAATAGATAGCATTTGTATAGCGCATATCCCCGCTCAACAGCAGGCTCTATGCGCTTTACACTATATTATTACCCCAGCAGACCATAGAACACTCCGAAACATTCTCAGCTTCCCAGGAAGCATACAGTGCAAGCAGCTGATTAAGCGCTCAAACACTAACAAACTGACAAGGTCTTTCGCTGTCTATAGCTGGGTACCCATTCCCACCTGGGTGAAGTGAGGAAAATTCGTGTAAAGTGCCTTTCCCAAGGACACAACGTCGGGTCCCTGACGGGATTCGAACCCACGACCTTACGGTTGCGAGTCCGAGAGCCTAACCACTAGGCCACCGACGCCACCAATAATAATAGATAGCATTTGTATAGCGCATATCCCCGCTCAACAGCAGGCTCTATGCGCTTTACACTATATTATTACCCCAGCAGACCATAGAACACTCCGAAACATTCTCAGCTTCCCAGGAAGCATACAGTGCAAGCAGCTGATTAAGCGCTCAAACACTAACAAACTGACAAGGTCTTTCGCTGTCTATAGCTGGGTACCCATTCCCACCTGGGTGAAGTGAGGAAAATTCGTGTAAAGTGCCTTTCCCAAGGACACAACGTCGGGTCCCTGACGGGATTCGAACCCACGACCTTACGGTTGCGAGTCCGAGAGCCTAACCACTAGGCCACCGACGCCACCAATAATAATAGATAGCATTTGTATAGCGCATATCCCCGCTCAACAGCAGGCTCTATGCGCTTTACACTATATTATTACCCCAGCAGACCATAGAACACTCCGAAACATTCTCAGCTTCCCGGGAAGCATACAGTGCGAGCAGCCGATTAAGCGCTCAAACACTAACAAACTGACAAGATCTTTCGCTGTCTATAGCCGGGTACCCATTCCCACCTGGGTGAAGTGAGGAAAATTCATGTAAAGTGCCTTTCCCAAGGACACAACGTCGGGCCCTTGACGGGATTCGAACCCACGACCTTATGGTTGCGAGTCCGAGAGCCTAACCACTAGGCCACCGACGCCACCAAGCTAGTGTTTAAAAAATATCTATATTTTTCATGATGGTTGCCATGCATGTAGGCTTATATTAGATTTCTACAATTGTCAGTGCCCAGGGCCTTTATTTGTCTTTTGTTCATTTTATTGTATGGCATGGTTTAGTGTGTGTGTGTGTGTGAATCATTTCTTCTTAATCATTCGTTTGATTTATTGATTATTCATGATAGTAAAATTATATATATATATATATATATATGTTTGAATTGTAGGCCTACACATATTGATTTGGACCACAAAGCTGAAAACTGAATGATTCCAGTATATATATAAAGGCAACATTCTCATTTGAACTGCAAGACTGCCATATTAGGTGGTTGGCAGGTGCTCTGGTGTAGTTTGCTCCTCCTATTCTATCATACACCTGTTGGCCTTAGAATCTCTCCTCTTTTTAAAAAAAAGTATGTCTCTTTCTTGTAACGCCTAATCTTCTGAATCTAAGACCTGAATATATATGTGTTGCAAGTGCCGTAAAAACTCTTACCAAAACTAAAAAATTAGGAAGATTTCAGTAAAAAGATCATCTGAAGAATCAATCAATATCACCCTTCCACATTTGCCATTTTTAGAGATATCAGCCTGACATGTTAAGTGTGGCATGGAAAAGCGTTGAAAATCTGTGCTGTATAAAATTGCAGGCACCATAAAACACTTACCCCCAAAAATATGTACTATATACTATGTAAGTATACAAGCTTGAATTTTTTTTTATCATTATTTTTATGATGGTACAATATTAACAAGTGATAGAACATACATGTAGATATAATGTTGATCCACATATAGAGTTGAATTATAATAAAATAAAAATGTTGATGTTGTCTTTCAGTTGTTGCAGCATCAGCACCACGGAAAAGCCTCGGGGGCGCTGGGTCAAGCGCAGGCTCTGTTGATGGCAGTTCTCCTGCTGGTATGTTTGCTTGTCTGTTTGAGTTGGTGTTTGTTTTGTTTTTGTTTGGGGGGGGGGGGTATTCTATCACCTTTTGTGGCTTTAAGTAGATAAAAATGATTTTGAAATCTTATTTGTAGAAAGATCATGATATAATAGTCTTTGGAAAAGGTGGATGTCAGAATGTGACGGGAGATTTTAATTGGTTTTAGCTTACTTTACCCAAGCAAGTCCCAATTGGTGTGATTTTTTTTGGATTTTTTTTTTTTTTCGTTCTTTTTATATAATGTGATGTTATAATGTTATGACTTAAGGTGTTCCTGATTGGGCTTTGAAAAAGTTGGTATGCCTGGCAGTGTCACTTTTTAAAAAAATGACACTTGGCATTATGATAAGACACCTGGTTAACACTTCTTACTGAAACACAACAAACAAGGAAGTGTCCTCGAGTCTTTTAATCCTTTGAGCCCTGACCTGCTGAGCGATTCATGCCAATATTACTCTCGTTTTTCATATCATCATTAGAATCACATTCCTTATTCCACTCAGGTTAGTTCCCGTCATTACCAACTTCTATATGTTTGTTTTAGTAGAGGTTTTACGGTGCTCTCAACTGCATAAGGTCATATATGAGCACCAGGGGGTGGATGTCAACAGAAATTCTTACAGGGAATCAGGCCTACTCTGCTCACCTCTCTAGCTTCAACAGCACAATGTCAGCTTCGACTATCAAAGCACCCCGGATTAACGGGTCACAAGAGTGTGACAAACATACAAAAGAAGTAGAGGAAAAATGACGATAATAAGGATTAGGAAAGAAAAGGCTGCAGTTCCCGGTTGCAGTTCAGGCACAGATATGAGCATGACATTGATGAATCAGCCCATTTACAATTACAGTTCTACTGTGCATAAGAACATGGTTAATGTCTTTTCTTTCCCCCCCCCCCTCCCTTGAGAATGGCCTAAAGACATTTCAGTCAGTAGCACCGATCCAGGGGATGACCAACATCTTATTAAAATTCAGACAGATTTTCGAAATAATCAATAGCATCCTGTGTAGTTCAACATTTTTCTATGCTCGTTTTGTCCCAGGCGGGCCGGGTTGGAGATAGGGTCTCGCTCACTGGTGTAGGGGTAGTTGGGGCTCAAAGGGTTAGAATCTTGTGCTTTTTACTTAGGCATTGCTTTCTTATTCTAAAAAGGCAGTTCTGTCAATATTATGAATGTTTTCAAAATTTTCAAGTGGTTATTGTCTGGTTTTAGAGACTGATCTTTCAATTTTCAAAATCATTACAACGGCATTATAATTATGATGGATAGCGAAGTATTCTTCAAATTTTTGTGACTTTGATTTTAGGAGGAGTGTATGATTATGTGTGTTGCTTTCTGCCATGAATATATCTTTCCTCTCATCTTGCAGGCAAAGGCAAATATGCTGGTGGCAATCCTGTGTGCCCAAGACCCACTCCTGAGTGGCAGAAAGGGATATCATCTTTTTTCAATAGAAATGCCTCGTCTTCAAATTCGTCATCATCATCGTCTTCATCCTCTTCTTCCTCTTCATCACAAGAGGGTGGCAGCAGCTCAAGGTATTTCTCACACTGATCTAAGCTGTTTCGCATCTCGTTATATAAATTACAGTTGAAAATGTCTCGGAAAGCCACCCGTTGTGAAGAACAAGTGGTCATTATATTAGTTAGGGAAAAAAATAGTTTTTACGCAAAAGGGAATGGGAAATGGCCATGTGCATAAGGGATCGGACTGTCTTATACTCTTTCCATTTTCTTCTAGCGTGCATTTTTTTTACATACAGTACAATGGCACTGTGTAAGGTGGGCATTTTGGACTTCTACAAGACTTCTTGGAGAGCTCCAATCACTTGTTTGCTTTATCAAATGAAAATTTAGAGATAAAATGCATAAGAAACAAGTGTATGAAAGTATTATTTTGAAGTGCTAAAGTTGTTACCCAGGTAGCCTCTCTTTTGTACTTTCTATGAAACTGTTGGCGAAACAGTACCAGACCTCTCCGGGGCCATGCTACTGACTGAAGTGTCTTTAGGCCATTTCCAAAGGGAGGACATAAACTTGTTCCTATGCTCAGTAGAATTGTAAATGGGCTGATTCATCAATGTCATGCTCATCATAACTTCCTGAACTGCATGCGGGGAACCTCCGCTTTTTCTTTCCTAATCCTTGATATCGTCATTTTTTCTACTTCTTTTGTATGTTTGTCACTCTCTTGTGACCCGCTATTTCCGGGGTGCCTTGATAGTCGAAAGAGACTTTTTGCTATTGAAGCTAGAAAGGTGAGCAAAGTAAGCCTGATTTCCTGTAAGGACTTCTCTGTTGACATCCATCCCTTGGCACTCACATGACCTTATGCAGTTGCAAGTGCTGTAAAAACTCTACTATACAACGAAAAACAGTACCACCACTGTGTTTATGACTTTAGTCTGAATGGAAAGCTTCCTGTTGGTGGTGCTGATTCATTGTTCTCGTATGCCTTGCTCATGGGTGATAGTATGGTCTGAGATCTACCTTTTTTTCTTTTTTTTTAAATTCTGGATATCCAGGTAAATAGGTGCGCTTGGGCCAAGTTCAGGTGCTATAAATTTTGACTCTTTAGTTGAGCTGACAAAACAATTATGGCAGGTGCTCTGGTGTGATTTGCTCCTTCTTTCCCATCAAAATCAAACATCTATTGTGGCTGTCCTTATCTCCCCTCCTCCTTTTATTTATATGTTTCTGTCTAGTAAAATCTCTAATCTCCGGCACTTATATGATACATATGTTGCAAGTGATGTAAAACTTATATTAAAGGTGACATTTTTGTGGTTTAGGTTTTTTATTGTACAGCATGGCTATAAAATGTGCATTTGTTTTGTTTTTCAGTGCATCGGATGACTAAGAATGGAGAGTCCTGGTGGATGTTGGAACTTCCTGAACATATACAATTCATGCACTTTTTTTTTTTCTTGGTTTCATTGAGTTAACTCTTTCACTGCTGAGCCATAAATGATTATAAAAACCATGAGGTGCAGCCATTAGAAAGAACGAAGTAAATCATGGTTATAGACTTTTGTTCTTTGGAAATGGAGAAATTCACACGCCAGGTACAACTTAATTAACCCTGTTTTCCCTTCTACCACTTTCCGTAATCACCACAGGGGTAAATTAGTTTTGATGACAGCTGTTTTGTTCAGCAGTGTAGAGATTTAAGGAAGGAGTTCTGTGCTGCCCATGTTTTTGGTTTTTTTATTTGACCAAAAAAAATTGTATGAAAAATACTTACCTTTGCATATATTTTGTTTTGTTCATTGTCAGGATGCTGAAAGAGGAGTCTTTATATTTGAGGATTAGAATCAAGCTTTTCTTTTTGTACTGATTTTTTTTTTTCCATAGAAACAAAACAAGACAAAAGAATTGATTTGTCTAGTATTTGAGGGTTGTGTTGGTGCGGGAGATCTGAAGATTCCTTGTTGAAGTTATGAATAGGAAATAGATCTGAGATTACGGGGGGAAATTAGTTTCAAGGTACACCTTTAATAGTGTTATTAAAGGGAAAATTAGTTTCAAGGTGCACCTTTAATAGTGTTATTAAAGGGAAAATTAGTTTCAAGGTGCACCTTTAATAGTGTTATAGAATGAAATGAGTTCTTGGTTATATAAGTTGTATTGGAAGACTGGGGTGTTGTTTTTTTTATGTGAAGGCAGCAATTTATAAATTACTTGGCTTTTATTCAAGTTTGTTTCAAGACAAGCATGAGTTAAAGTACGCCCGTCGAAATGTCCGAGACAATCAGCCATTGTTGAGGAGAGAAGTGGATGTCCTGGACAGTGCTGTTATAATCCTTTTTTTTTTTTTTTTTTTTTTTTTGCAAGGAAAAGATGGGAAGTGGCCGTTTCTACAGCTGAATATCTTTATACATGTGGCCGTTGGAGCAGGTTTGACTGTGGTTGGGTATGGGACTGGGTGGGTTGATACAGGAGAAAATACCTTTGTTGCATTTAGACTCTCTCTCTCTCTCTCTCTCTCTCTCTCTCTCTCTCTCTCTCTCTCTCTCTCTCTCTCTCTCTCTCTCCTGAAAAAATGAAAAAGAAGTGTGTTTTTTTTTTTTTTTTATGCAGCCTCGGAACTGTCTTTGCACGATTGGCAGTAGTATGTGGTGTAGAGCGAAACTCCTTCCAAGTCAAAGTGTCCTTTTTCTTGTTCTTGTACGTGCACATTTTTCCCCCGAAAGTTCTGCTGGCAAAGTGTGACTGTGCTTTGTGTGGATGGTTTGGGTGTGATGAGTCTGCAGTTTCTGTGTGAATGATCTTTTATGTTTGTTACTCTCTTGTAGCACCTCTAATCTTCGGTACTTATAAGACCTCATTGTGTTGCAAGTGCCGTAAAACTTACTAATACAACTCTTTGGAGTAGGACCAAAAGATGTCGTCAGCTCTGTACAACTCTTAAACGTGTTGTTGAAGTGCAGGCTTGCCAACTGTCCCTGAAATTTAAGAGACTCCCAAATTCAGCAATGTGGAATATGAAAGCCTTTTCATGTATACACACTACACCACCGAAATCAGTGCAGTGCTACTAAATTGTAATTTTTTTCACTTGCTGTATAATGTGATCTGATGTTCTACCGTTGTATTTCCCTGATTGAGATTTGGAAAAGTTGGCAAGCCTGGAAAGGGGAATCATGGCAGCTCTTTATCTCAGCAGCAGTTTCTCAACCCACACATTTTTACAGTTTTGCCTTATCAATCTTGTTTCCATTGTTTTTCTTTTATATAAATATGGCTAAGTGCACTTACGCATATATATTTTTGCCTGTTCGGGGCCCTGGTGACAAATTTCATGAACCTCCGAGTCTGATGCAGCAAGCATTCTCCGTTATTGTCTTGTTATATGACACGATGCACCAAGACTTAAAATAGCATAATTATTTTTTTACTACCACCGAATTTTACCAAACTGCTACCACCGTATTTTATCAAATGTGACCACCATAATTTTACCACTCTGTTACCACCGTTGGAAAATGTATCTCGCATACTCTTCATCTGAACTTGTTCTTCATTTAAAAAAAAAAAAATTTTTTTCCATTTCACAGACCTGTGGCTTTTCATGATTCATTGAGGACATTCTGAGTTTTTGATAAATTGTTCATTTGATTTTGACAGTCCATTCTATTTTCAGGCTGTTGTAACTGTAGAAATATTTGAGTCTGATGTGTTCAAATTGTTGGGCCCTTTTCCATTTCTTTTCCTCTCTGATCACTTTTTATGTATAATAATAACAATATTATTGCTTATCTGTAGCGATGACTATAGCAGGTATTTGTACAGGACTATGGTTGTTGAAAATTGTTGTAATATTCCGATAGGTCTGAGTCCAACAACTTGGGGATACCATACCAGCATCACTGGAATGATGGTGAGAATATTTCTGGCACTTTGTCACTTGTGTCTTGCAATGGAATTAGCTTTAAGTTTTTATCGTATGGTGAGCCAGTTGAGGTAGCACATCGTATTGCTCGGTTGTTTACGGACATACGGAAAATCTACAAAACCCCAGCAGATTCATCTCATGTATAAATAGTCAAACTGTTGTGTTTATTGCAAGCGTTGATCATTTCTTCTCGGTTTGGTGTTTATTTGTACAAATTTATATAGGTGTGTTAATTAGGAGTAGAGTTACGGGGAAGTTTATGATGCTGGAAGAAAAAAATTGGCCGCATAAACGAAAAATAGTGAGTTAACAGAAAGTTCTTGGGGATTTTCTTTGTTGAAAGCAAAGGTCCATCGTTTCATCATGATTCTCTCTTTCTCTTTTTTTTTGGTCGGGCCCTGTTTGTATGAAATGCCAAGAACATTGACCGTGCCTTGTATGTAAACATCTTCATACATCATACGTGCATACCGATATATCGTTGGCAAGCTGTTTAAAATTAAATACTATAAGCCCAGAAAGAAAGAAAAAATGCTACACGTTGTATCTGCCCTTGCGCATCCAATACCATAGATGAAAATAAGTGCATTTTTATTTTTTTAATGTCATAATTCTTTGCTTACTTTTTGAACTGTTGACCACTGAATATGTCGCCTTCTTCATCCCGCCATGAGTATTTTATAAGTGGAAAAATATTGTCAGTGGCCTTTACTTAAGACTAATTGAGACTATTATAATAATGATAATACATTTTACAAATAATTCTGTTAATTAAAGTTGCATAAACAAACGTCTCATGTCATAATGACAAATCATGGGTTGTTGCTGTACTTGATTTGTATGCCAGTGTTTGATGAATTTTTATCTATATATATAAATGTTTGCAGCTCAATAAAGTGTTCTTGTTTCTTAAGTAAAGATTTTGTTTATTACTTTATTAAATAGTGCATGTGTCTTGCTTTTTGGATAAGTGTGATATTTTATGAAAATTTACTTTTCTCATCTCTTGAAAGTTTGAGCAACTTCTGTCACTGTCAAGTGTGTGAATGGTTAGTGAGAGTTCTGGTGTGGTCTCCACCCCTTGGCGCTCATATGACCTTCAGTTGCGAGTGCCATAAAACCTTGCTTTAAAAAAACCCCGATTTCTGCCTGGGAAGTTTATCGAGTGGCAGTTTTTGCTGGACTGCTGATTGCCAAACTGGACTTGGCACGAATTTGTCTTTACAAGGCAGTGTTGAAGCAGCCTACCTCCTCTTCTTATTTTTTGTTTTAACAGTTTTACGCCCACATCGACACAATTTAGGTCGCTTAGAAGATGGGGTTCCCACCCTGCGGGTTGGGGCCAAACCGGGCTGACTGAGAGGGATACAACATCCCAACAGAAAGACTGAGAGGGATACAACATCCCAACAGAAAGACTGAGAGGGATACAACATCCCAACAGAAAGACTGAGGAGATACAACATCCCAACAGAAAGACTGAGGAGATACAACATCCCAACAGAAAGACTGAGAGGGATACAACATCCCAACAGAAAGACTGAGAGGGATACAACATCCCAACAGAAAGACTGAGGAGATACAACATCCCAACAGAAAGACTGAGGAGATACAACATCCCAACAGAAAGACTGAGGAGATACAACATCCCAACAGAAAGACTGAGGAGATACAATTCATGACAAAAACTGTCACATATGAAAAAAAAAAAATCAGTTGCACTGCAGGGGTGAACTGTCCCCGTCGTTTTATGCAAGAAAATTCTGAAATTATGCAAACTGAGCCCAAAAATGTGAAATTATGCGATTCTGGGAATTTTAATTTTAACAAAGAATGATAAAGGAAAATAATCAGAATTTGTGCAAAAAATGATCAAATTGTGCGGGGAGCGAAAAACCACGGGGACAGAATGAAGAACCAGCAGCCGATTATGCTGAGATTTAGCCAGGGGAACGCAAAGAATAAACGTGAGTGGTTGGCGGGTGCTCTGGTGTTGTTTGCTTCTTCTTTCCTATCAAACATCAATCGTCTTTATCTCTCCCTCCTTCTTTTGTATGTTTGTTACTCTCTTGTGTAACACCTCTAATCTTCTGGCGCTCATATGACTTATGCAGTTGTGAGCGCCGTAAAATCTCTACATGTACTAAAACAAACAAAAGAATAAACTAGAGAAAACTTCTCACCACTTGGGTCTCCTACATGCTACAACAAAGCACCATATACCGCTACATCCCAGACTCCAGTACATCTTGTACTAGTACGGTACCCACCCCCTACACGATCTAAACTGTATAGAGCAACAATAAATATATTTAAAACAAACAATTAATTTATTTTTTTTTAAAGATGTTGGGCCTTCAACATTTGAGCTCATTGTGTGATGAAACAGACTTGGTTTTTAAAGTTTTTTTCTCCAGTACCGGTACACAAATTCTTGTTGCGTAAATTAATGCGTTCTTATGATTTCTAAACCTTACGCAAATTTCCTGCAAGTGGACATCTCACAGAACATGGAGGTGGTCAGTGAGACAAAGTGGGGGAAAAAGAATCCAGGAAAGAGAGTTTGGGTTAGTGGGTTTGCTCCTTGTAGTCCTCCTTGGCCTACTCCTTCTTTCCTGTCAAACTCAAACATCTGTCGTCCTTGACCTTGTCTCTCCTCCTTTTTGGGCATGTTTCTCTCCAATGGGTCGTTTTCACACGTACGAGAGCCGGGTTCGATTCCAGAGTGTGTGTGTGGGGGGGGGGGGGGGTATTTATTATCGAGCGTCTTGGTCTTTCTGCTTGGATATTGTATCTCTCTCACTCTCAGCCCGGGGTGGCCCTGACAGACAGGCACGGCCACAAGCCCGCTTCCTTGATGGTCTTAATTGGTGTGTAAAAAACACCAACGTATCGTTGAAAGAAGGATGAACAGCAGCTATTCCCTGATGCTTCGTGGTATAGTAATCTAAGTATATTTTAGTATACTGGACCTCCTGCGCACACACTATAACTATAATGTATGAGCTTGTTGTGTTGGGTTTTACTTTTTTTTTTTTTTGGGGGGGGGGGGGGGGTGGTCACGTGTCCCTTTTTTCGGGTGCCATGTGAGTAATCAGTGTCAGTAAGCTTTTTTTTTGGGGGGGGGGGTTAAGTTTCAGTAGAGGTTTTACGGCACTCGCAAATGCATAAGGTCATATGAGCGCAAGAAGATAAGAGGTGTTACAAGAGAGTAACACATAAAAAAGAAGAAGGGGAAATAAGGACGATAGATGTTTGATAGGAAAGAAGAAGCAAACCACACCAGAGCACCCGCCAATCACACCAGAGTAAGCAGGTACAAAGATATTCCAACACAAAGATGGAACAACAAGAGAATAATAATATGAGAAAAAAGCAATGAAATTTAATTTGTTGATTTTTTTAAAAATTGTTATTAATTCATTATAGTGCGGTAAAAAATTAGTGCCCCACCTTATTCTCAAATATCTCTTTATCGGATGAATCACTGTCAGCCATACTTTTCACAGCAGTTTGTATCAATTTGTCTTAACTTAATCATATTTTTCCCCAACATATGAGGCTATATTTTAAAAAAACTGTTTTTCATAAATCTATATAAAATGCTATAAATCTCCTTCACGCTGAAAATTGAACTGTTCACAGCACTTACCACTTCTCACACACATTTTGCATACACATATATGGCCTACGTCACAACTCATCAAAGAGACTTTTTAGTAGCAAAACTTGCTACAAAAAATTAATTTTATAGCGAACATTTTTTGGTACATGTAGCCTACTAGATCTAAAGGTTCTCAAAACATGCGTTCAATAAGAATAATGTTGCGATTAGAAAAAAAAATGACGGACTTGCTTTAAAGGCGATATTGTCCCAGCTGTAAACTTTTACAAATCTGTAGAAACCATCGACTGTGATTTTAAAAATTAGTATTCATTTAGGAATTTTCTAGAAAACAGTGTGCAGGAGTTTGAAAAAATATTCATCAATTAAGACAAATTGATATAAGTCATTGTGCAAACGTTGGAGAATGTCCGTTCAATAGGTAAGGAGATATTTGACATAAGTTGCGCCATGCATTTTTGACCGTACTATAGTGGATTTGTTTTTCTTAATTTTGGCTGTCTTTGGGGGAGAGGGGGAGGGTTCCCTGAGGTTGTTGAATCCTGCTCTGAAAGTCAGTGTAGGGCTCGTGGTTTTGTAGATATCATTATAATTTATTTACGAATTTTAAAAGAAATTACGCCCTACCAGTCCCCGTGGTTATACGCTCCCTGCATAATTTAGCAAATTTTATCATTTTTTAAGATAATTTCTGATTATTTCCTCTATCGTTCTTTGATAAAATTAACAGAATCGCATAATTTCACATTTTTGGGGCTCAGTTTGCATAATTTCAGAATTTTTTTTGTGTGCTTAAAACTGCGGGTACAGCCCTACCCCTTTCCCAGTGAACAGATGTGGGGGGAAAAAGCTACTTACTTTTCAACAAAAAACACAGACACGGTAATATCTAAATTTCTTTTAAAAAGGTTTATTAGATAAAAGATTATGGAACTGCACTGTGCGGGAGAAAAATGGAGCCATTGCTAGCAAAATAGGAAAGAAAATAAAAATTTTAAGTGGGGAAAATACACGTTTGAAAAAAAGATAAAGAAAAATATGTAGGAACCGCGAAACACTTTGGGGTATGGATTTGAGTTCTGCTCCGAAAGCCAAAATTTTAAAAAGTAAAAAAAAAAGACTGGTTGGGGTTTGAGTATGATTTTCCCTATCTTTTTTACACAATCAATCACTCACACATTTTTTTGGAAAAACATGGCAGTTAAATTGTACAAATTTCAAAGAGTTCATTCCTGTTAGTTTAAGAAGTTCCATCTTCTCTTTCTTCGACTAAGGGAGATAACAAGAAAAATTGTGTTTTTTTCAGGAGAACAAATGCAAAATATGAGGGGCTGGCCTTAAGAGGGGGTGCTGCAGAATAAGTCTATCTCAGCTAATACCGCTCCTATGGAGCTTATATTTGATGTGGACGATTATATGGCAATGGAGATTTGTTAACAGATGTGAAAAAAGAAATTGCTGATTCGGTTACCTTGGAAACGGCGGCCATATTGGATTTTAGAGACATAATGATGTACAATTTTCTCACCTTATTTACAAACAGATTAGATTCATAATTATCATGCACACTCACAAGACAAAGATGAAACTTTCTGTAAGAGGAATTTTTTTATATTCCTCTTACAAAAAGCTAGATTTGTATGGTTTCAACATTCTGTCAAAGTTTGATTGAAATCGAGTGAGAAATAGAGCAGAAAAATAGTACCAACCGTGAAAAAAATAGAATGCTTATTTTTGGACAAAATTGGCAAATATTTTCTCTAAAAGAGACTTGACCGTACGCTTTTAAATCCCCCAAACACCACTTTAGGGTGCAGGGAGGCGTGTGTACTTTCTAGATATTGTTCAGGACATGTTCAGAAATCTTAAAGTGTAATTATCTCAGTTTGTGTCATTTGGCCCCAAATCAGCTTTTCTAACTGCAGCACCACCCCTTAAGTGAAAAACTTAAGGCCAAGGGGTGTCCTCAAGGATTTGTTTCGCTCAAAACCTCATTTATTCGGTTATCTACCCTGTCTCAATAAAGGGAGAGAATCGGATAAGGAGATTTTGGCAGAATTGAATCGACTTTCATAAATTATTACTATTACCATCCCCTTCTCCTATGTCGTTGTTGCTGTTGTTGTTTTACTTCTTTCCAACTCTCTCTCTCTCTCTCTCTCTCTCTCTCTCTCTCTCTCTCTGTTTTGGACGTCCCGTTATCTCGGTAGTCATTTATTTAAGAAAATGGACTCTGGTATGGATGGTTCTGGTTCAGTTCCTCTTACCAGCGTGTGTAGTCAAGTGTAGTAGTTCTGTCCCCGTGGTTTTAAGCAAACAAAATTATGAAATTATGCAAACTGAGCCCAAAAAATGTGGAACTATGCGATTCTGTTACTTTTAACAAAGAATGATAAAGGAAACAATCAGAAATTGTGCAAAAAATTATCAAATTTTGCTAATTTATGCGGCTTGCATGAAACCACGGGGACAGGAGTTGGGCCCTTCACTGATGTACACAAGAGACCAAAGTTCGATTCCTGAGTGGGGACAAATTATCGAATATCTCTGTCTTTCTGCTGGGATCCCTCTCAGTCTCAGCCAAGATTGGCACTGACAAGCAGGGTCGGGAGCCGCCTCCTAAATGATGTAGAGTCGATGGGAGCGTTAAAACACTGACGTTTACAGACAAAATCACAACAGGACATTCAGGAACTGTCATACTTTCTCTACGTAGTTTCTTTTCTTTTCTTTCTTTGACGTCATAAGATATTAATCTAACATCTGCGTTTGTCTCGGCCCCGCCGCGATTTTTGGCATTAAAAAAAAACAACAACAAACAAACAAACGAACCAAAAATAAACAAACACCGCCAGGGAATAATTTTGTTTTTAATTTTTTAAAAACCCCGGGGAATAAAAATCAAAAGTAGAAAAAAAACGAAAAAAGAAACCGAATCTCTTTTTTTTTTCATCTTTGTTGTGTTTTAATAATTTGTTGGTGTGTTATTTTTGTTCTTCTTGTTCTTCTGATGAGTTGTTTTTCTAAAAAAAAATGTGTGTTTATATAGCGCAATGTCATTTAATAAATCAATTTGATGTTGTTCCTACCTTTAAAAAAAGAAAAGTGTTATGTTAGAGCATGTCTCCACCAAAACTGAATACTGACACTGGCAGGCCCCTTGTGTGTGATTCCATAAGTTACATGCAGTATTTTTTCTTGAATTACACACGTTTATGGTTGAATTGGCCAATGTTTGGATAGGTGGACACACGCCCTTATATGTTAATTTTTGTGGTTGTTTATGTGCTGTTCTAATTTTGATTTCGTTCTGTTGTAATAATAATAGATTATAACATTTGTAGAGCGCAAATCCCCGCTCAACAGCAAGCTCCATGCGCTTCACAATCTATACTATTACCCCAGCAGACCTGAGAGCATTCTGAAACAACCTCAACTTCTTCTTGGGAAGCATACAGTACAAGCGGCCATTCATAGGCGCAGGAACACTAACATACTCAACTGACAAGATCTTTCGCTGTCTATGGTAGGGTACCCATTCCCACCTGGGTGAAGTAAGGGAAATTTGTGTAAAGTGCCTTTCCCAAGGACACAACGTCGGGCCCGCGGCTCAAACCCACGAACCCGCAACCTCACGATTACGAGTCCGGTAGCCTAACCACTATCTACATCAATTCCTTTCACAACCCTAAGTAAAACCATTCTGTCGCTAATCTTAACAGATATGTACCTTTGTGGGCCTGAAAATCTACTTCACATTCTGTCCAGAGTGGATAGAGCTTACAGTTGTTTTAAAAAATGCTCGATAAAATCAAACTCACCTAAGTGTTGGCAGTTTTGAGAGTTCTTCAATGTCATTTTGAAAAAAAAAAAAAAGAAAATTGATCGATTAGTAGGGTAGATATTATTATTTATTATACAGCACTTTTCAGTTTGAAGCTCTAAATAGTTTAAATTCTAAAGCATGTTTCATCAGCTCGGTTGACTTCCACTAATTTTCTTAATTGATATCAGCACCATGATATACATGTATCCCCCTCATGATTAATCTGAATACTTAACCTTAGCACAGTGGCGGCTCAACTTTGCTCATTTCAAGCCCGCTGCACGAAACCTTACGCATTGGCGCTTGTGGGGTAATAATTTAAATTAGCTGCTTCACAATCGCACACAGTAGACCCGAGTTCAATTCCAAAAGTGGGAGTATGTTACTGGGTACATCATCTACATGTATCTCTGTCCTCTGCTGGGATGTTGGTTGTAGGCTACCCCTCTCCTCAGCCTGGATTGGCTCTGTAGAGACAGGCAGGGTCGGAAGTCCGCCTCCTAAATTATGTTGATGATGGCATAAAAATACCTTTATGTATTTTTTTTTAAAAAAAGAACCTGGCGCTTAATTTCCTCAAAGTCCGTTTTGTTTTCAAAACATTTTTCTTCCAAAGAAAATAATAAAATCTCTGCTTACTTGGCTAAGGCAGCGTCTGGCAGTGATATGTTTTGTAAAAAAAAAAAAACCAACTGTTATCCTGAGGGTTTTTATGAATGGCAATTTCCAAATGATTGACAAGTCGCTACAGTACTAAGATAATACCATGGGCCATGAGCCATGAGGTCAGATACCAATGAATGTTCTATATCTGCTCTATCAAAATCATAAGAATATTTGGAGTTGTTATCAAGGTAGGCCTGGCCTACTCAAAGAGTTGCATGCGCAAAAGCACGACATGTGAAACTAAAAAATTTTGACGCCAAATTACTCAAAACTAAGTACTGAGAAGATAGAACTCCGAGGTACCGATGTCTCTCCTTGCCCCTTTTCCAAAAACCCCAAGAAGGGTAGGCCTTATAAATCAGTACATGTAACACTTCTGGGCGTCCAGGTTTTTTTTTCAAGATGTCTTGCTGGTTTAGCATATTTCCAATGGTTTCAACAAACTAAATTGGAAATTTGTCTGTAACTCATAAGAAGATTTGTTCACATTCAAATCTGAAAAGACAAAAGTCCCAATGGAAATAGCTTTCCTTGATTGTTAACATTCCTCTAAAATAAAGTCATACACTGACTAATTTTAATGAATCCCAAGCCTGGATTATATGTGTTGATATCGCTTTAGTTTAGTCAGATTTTTTATATTTAAGGCCCTTGCAACACAAATGGGTCATAAAGGTGCAACAGTTTAGAGGGGCTATTAAGAATAACACAGAGAGAAAAAGAGGAGAAATTAATTATGATAGATACTTTCAATTTGAAGAGAAAGAAGAAACAAACCACAACAGAGTACACAAGTGCACTTTAGTGCACCCACAATGACTCCCAGAAACAATCCCAGAGATGTAAAGCAAAAACTACAAAAACACAGATTTTTTAAACAAAACAAAAGCACACTCCAAAATTGAGCAACAAAGTTGATTTTATTTAATGTTTTAAACAAGAAACAGCCGAACCTGCCTCAAGGGCCACTTGAAAAAGACAATCATATGTATGTACAACTACAAATGGACCCCCCCCCCCCCCGCGCGTTTTATTTTTTTAAAACATTAAAGTGACATTGTCCAGACAACCACTTTTCTCCTCAGCAATGAGTGGCCGTCAAACAAATTCGACTGCAATCACGATTTCAATAATCATACCGGTATATAAATATCTCTCCTTTCTCCTATGTACAAACACAACAAAAGTATTTATCTGTGGCTTCTGAAACTCAGTCCCCATTTCAGAAAAAAAATATTCAATAACTACCTATTTAAATTCAAGCAGCAAAAGGCTTTTAATGAGAGGAAATTTAAAATAAAAAATTCTGTCCCACTACCTGGTTTCTTATTGTACATGGGGACTAATGTGGGAACTTTCTTTTATTCCTAAGTCAATCATATGCAAAGCACTACAACTGCTTAATGGAAGACTCTCCAATACACCATTTAGAAAAGTAACATATCACAGGCTCCCACTGAGCAGTTGATAATGAAGACAAACATACCCCCCCCCCCCCAATTCACACTCACTTTTCCACATTCAATAAATTCGTGCTATTCAAAGTGCAGCAAAATATCTCTTAAAGAGACTTATGGGCTTTGTTTTCTTAATATTGGCAAAATCAGTCTTGGAAGTTCACAAATTTTCTTCCACATTGGCAGGTCCTTAAGCAGCAATATCAGAAAACAGAGACTACAGATTTTCCAATATTATATACAGACAGACTTCCATACTCAGACCTTAACAAAAATTATTAAATGCATGTCTTAAAATTCACCTGAATTATTTTTTCAAGACCTTTCCACTGAACAGTCTCTGAGACAAAGACAGTGGACAACTTGCCAACTTTTCTAAAACTGAACCCAGGACACCTCCCGTTATAGTTATAGAGTAACCTCAGATAGCTGATGAACAAAATTCTACAGAGGCTTCCTCTGAGGTAGCCTATGAGATTAAATCCCAAATCCCCCAGCGGCTGAATCTGTGGGACAGTCGCAGGACATTCAGGACGGTCGGCAAAATCCTGCAGACCGCATCCATCACTCTGTCAAAGAGAGAAGAACAGTGGAGTCTTCCTCCTGCTCTACGCAGCAGGACACGTTCAGCTTCCGTGCAGCTCTGCTCCGGCATAAATTCTCCGTGACTTTCAATGTTCCCAGCGCCCACTTTATTTTTTTCTCTTCATGCTGGGATCAAAACTGATGCTCTTGTTGCTCTTGGGACCTGACAGTTTGGTCTTCTTCACCTGAAAAAAAGAAAAAGTTTTGTTTTGTGTTGTTCTTTTTAAAATTGTTACCAGCATTACCTCACTGAGCCCTGGGCAGTCCAGAATCTCAATGGTCTCTCCGTACAGACCATTCACACACTTCTTCAAAATATTGTCATCAATGTAGCTTGCTTCATTTTATAGTCAAATAATTATAAAATACATTCCTCCTCTTTATAATATTTCCAACTTTACTAAGTTATCTCTCTAAAACTCTTTTTTTCCACAAATTTGAAATTACCTCACTATTTTCAATTTCAGAAAAAATATGTCTGCACACAGAACGTGACAGAAAATAGCACCACAAATAAATCACTGTTACACCAAATATAAGGACTCGATCTAGATATCTAAATTTCACTTAAAATGATTATGGTACTGGCTTGTAAAGTTCTCAAAACACCCCTAGATGTAGGTGGAGTTTTCTTAACCCTGTCCGTAAGCCCTAAGGTCATTTTGTACCCCCGGGGTTGTATTCTTCACATTTTAGAATACTTCTAGAGCGAAGATCTTTTCAGTATTTCTCAAAACATCGTTTTGAATACTGCTAGACAAAGTGTTAGGATCGGATTAACCAATAGATTTCCTCTTTGGAAAGTGGTGGCACAGAGCTCCCCATGTTGTATGGATACGAAAGTAAAACACGACGTACGGATAGGGTCAAAGAAAAATATGAAAAGACATTGGGTTTGCGGTAGGTCACCAGAGTGAAAGTGAAAGTAGTTTTCATCTTGAACGACCGGCGCTTCTGTATTTAATAAATCTTCATTTTCAGTCAGAAAAATTATTTAACTAAAGCTTCATACAAGAATTATATCACATTATAAGATTGTTTTCTTGGAAAAATCTGAAAACCCAATCCAGTCTTAAGTTCGGGACCAGGACTCCGAGAATTAATCCTGGTGAGTGGTGACTGCAATCTTTCATTTTTTTGTTTAAGTTAGAGTCTTACAGCACTTGTACCTCAAATAAGTCACATGTAAATGCTGAAAATTGGAGGTGTTACTTCTGAGTAATGTATATATATATAGAAAAGGAGGAAGAACAATAAGGACGATAGATTGATACAAAAGAAGGAGCAAACCAAACCAGAGCGCCCACCAACCACCCATGGTAAATGGAACCTATATAAAGAAAAAACTGACAGGGTTGAAGAACCAGCAAAGAAGAAGAAGATCACTGAGTAGAATGTTAAGCATACCTTTTCTTTGCTTCCTCTTTTCGGTAAAGCCGAATCGTACACATCCGTCTTCTGTTTTTTGGCTGAGGACAAAAGAAACACAACAATAAAATAACAATTATATGACTGAACTCCACACACTAACCTCCTGTTTGCCCCACACTATGACCTAAGAAATCTTAACTCACTTGCGACTGGGCCCTTTCACCAGTCACAAGCGTTGAAGACTGGCATTTTTGGGGGTATTTCAATAAATCACCACAACCCTCAGAATTACCCTATTGTAATTATTTTTTGACACAGTAAATTAACATTCAAGCTTAATCTAATACAAAAAACTAAAGTTGTTTAAGTCTAATACTTTAATTTGTATGATTTTTTAAAAATTGGCATGAATTTGATTTTCCAAAAAATTTCCAGACGTGACAAGTAGAATGAAATTCACTACAACAACAAAAATAAAAGTTCAAAGTGTTCTGATTTGATTTGTATACATGTGCAAGTGTTTGGTGAAAATATAAAAGCTGGTCTGTGCATTGATTCAGACCCACACACTGAATTACATGAGACAGATGTACGGCACGACGTTGTGATTTCGTTGCGCGAAAAACAACACCGGTACTTAGTGCTAGATCTAGCCCTAGAACTACGACTCGGGCCGTGTTCGGGTACATATCCAGGATCCTAACTATTAGACACATCATATTCTGAGACACTAGAACTAGTAAAACGTACAGAAATATAGAAAACGGCGAAATTATGTGATTCTTGTTCATGCGACTTCTTCGACCGTTACTACGACGCGACTGTCGGATTACTATCAGCTGTATAGAAAAAAAACAAAGTGCGAGTTCTGGTCTGTTCAACCCCAGTTGGGGTCGCTGTCCTTCACCTTCGATAACTTAAAAACTACCGGCCCCAGAGATACGAAACGAAGTCTAAGTAGCTCAGGCTTGGCCAAACAAGGGTACAAGGCGGGTCTCGCGATCTGTGCGTGATTTGTAGAGCGGAAAAAAAATTCCAAAGTTGGTCACGCAGGGCTTGTGAGACCCGTCACGAGCGTCGCGGCGGGGGTCACGCAACTGTTGTGTGAGCTGTCTGAAGTGAGTTAAAAACCGAAAGACATTCCGGGCATTTACGTGGACACATGCTTCTGAAACAGTCTCCAGCTACTCAGGTGATCCAACTCAATGAACCAGCGCCTGTCGTATGGCGGTTAAAGGCGTTTTTGCTGTCGCACACAGATGACCAGAGTTCAATACTCAAGTGAGGAGAATTTTTATCAAGCATCTAGGTCTTTCTGCTGGGATATTGTGTCCCTCTCAGCTTGGGTTGGCCCTGACAGGCAGGGTCGGAAGCCTGCTTCCTAAATCTTAATTACGACGATAAGGGCGTAAAAACAGGACTTTTATGAATAAACAGCCTTTCCTACAAAAAGCCAAAACAACGAAGGAGCAAAAAAATGAGATTCTAATCATGGAATCACAAAACCAAGTATTGCTGGCACTGTAGCCTAGCTTGATAGCTACTGCGCTACATGACTGCCTCCTTTGACAGATGTGATCAGTACATTGTGCAAACACGGTCAAAACTGTCCAAGAAAAAAACAAAAAATGGCCTCCTTACCCGTGTATTGCTTTTTTTTTATTTAAAAAAAAAAGTATTTGTAAGCGTTTTACAGCACTTGCAACACAAATAGGTCATATAAGCGCCCAGGATCAGAGGTATGACTAGAGAGTAACATACAAAGAAAAGCAGGAGGAGAGATAAGAACGATAGAGACGTGTGATAGGAAAGATAGAGCAAGCCACACCAGAGCAACCACTAGCCACCCCGATGGAGTGGGCACGGAGAAAAGGCCACACAGAGATAGAAAAAATCCCACCCTCACTCTCACCTTTTGAAAGATTAGCTTCAGCAGCGGAGTAATCAAACGTAGAAAACTTCTCCTGTACGTCTTCAATGGTCAGTTTCTTATTCTTATTTTTCGTCTTCTTCTTCCCTTCTGTCACTTCGTTGATCACAGGTACAGAAACGTTGCTCTCCTGAGCCTCCACTGGAATATTTGCACTGGTGTCCCCGACAGAACTGAGGAAAGATATATTTTCTTCTTTATTTTTCCGAACCTTCATCAACTTTTAAACAACAGTAACAGGCTAGCAAAAATTTTTTTAAGGAAGTGGTGAGTGTTCCTGTGACTGACTTGACGATTAATCAAAATAGCTGCCCAAGATGTCATGAAAACATTATAATTTAGGTCAATGTTTGGATACATACGACAGGAGAGATGAGAAGAAAAGAAAAAAAAAGAAAGGAAAAATAAAAGATACCTATGACGGGCTGCCATTGGGATAAAGTAAAAACAACTGAAACTTTGCAAAGCTGCATTTGGTAACAAAAAGACAGTAAAAATACATAACTATTGTAGAGGCTAAACAGAAAACAAAATACTGAGAATAACTGTCCTCCTTGTGAGAATAATGGGGGGGAGGGGGGGGGGGGGGAGACGCCAAAAACAGCATCCTGCTACGAATCATGAGGCATGATGCAAAGCAACTGAGAGATGGAGTTGGATGAACTAAGACCATCTTAAGAAACAAGTATGTAACTGTGAATTTGTTCCACACCCATTTCCCTCTTAACTCTTTCACTAGCGCGAGCCGCATTTCACGGCTTCTTACATCCTGCTTCAAAACCACATCTACTTTCGTAATAATCGAATCTGAAATATGCTGAGATAGGTCATTATTTCCCCTTTATTTTCATATATATAATACATGTGGTTAACATTGAAAATGGAAAAATCTTTAATTAGTCCGACAGTAGGCAGAATCAGAAAGTACGTCACAGATATGGCCCGGGCCAGGTGAGGAAAACCCCCGGTAGAGAAAGAGTTAACAAGGGCAAAGTAGGAAGAATGTGGACATCAAAGTGTCTTGTGTTAAATGCCAAAATATGGAAGAAAAATTCTAAGAATGACACAAAATCAGAGTATTGGGCGAGTCGATGTCAAACTAAGCACACAGCATTTCTTTCTGCTTTCTGAAAAGTGTTGAGTAGAATCCAAATTAAACTCAATTATGACGTTATGTAGAATTTGTCTGATCTTGGTTTTACCTTTGTGAATCGAGAGTGGAAGAAGAACCGTTCTCACTGGCTGGAGCAGCTTCCTTCTCCTTCCGTTTAGCTTTGTCCTTCTTCTTCTCTTTTTTCTTTTTTTGTGACACCTGTTACATCAAACAGAAAAGGACAAAATGTATTGCAATGAGCCCTGAAACACTTCGACAATTTCAATAATTATGTAGTTGTTCAATAATTCATTAACAAAAATGTTTAAAATGAAAAGAAAAAAAACAACAACAAAAACTGCTTGCTTTCTGGATCGGACATTTTGAGCAGGAAATTTTCATACTATTGAACTACCGACAATAACGTTAAAGAATGGGTTTCTATTTGAAATTGAAAAAAATAACGCAAACGTTACATCTGTAGATATGACTCACAGCACAGACCATTGCACTCTACTCCACTCACAGAGTCAACGACAACATGGAAAATTAATTGCCAACAGGTAAATCTCCTTTAGTCAAGAAGCGGGTAATAATACTTGTTAAGTCCAAACCTTATCAGGAAATGTATGTGGTCTGCTCCTTCTTTCCTATCAAACATCTATCGCCTTTACCTCTCCTTCTCTTCTTTGTATGTTACTCTCTAGTAACACCTCTAATCTCCGGCACTTATATGACCCACTTGTAAGTGCCGTAAGACTCTTGCTAAAAACTAACATCTAAATCCCTGGGAGCTCACCTCTTGCCTCAAAGACTTGATCTGCCTCTCCACTTTTTCGTCCGTCTTCCTCCCCGGCTTCGACGACGACACTGTGGCACTTCCCTGGTAGTTGGGCGGGGGTTGGAACAGACTTGTGGCTCTCTGCACCGGCAAACTGCTACCTTCTGGTACCTGCCCAGGACCGTCCGCCTGACCGTCGGCTTTGGTCCTCTTGGTGGGGGGAACTGCACACGTCGAAAAACATGGTTAGTTCAGTTTTAGTAAGAGTTTTACGGCACTTGCAACACAATAAGGTCATAAAAATAAGAGCTGAAGATTAGAGGCGTCACAAGAGAGTAACAAACACAAAACAGAAGGAGGAGAGATAAAGACGATAGTTGTTTAACTCACTGAGCACCACACCCCGATATGCCTCCAAGCCCCACAGGACCACCAATTTCCCCCACTTCTTGAAAATTCATAAAAAATAGAAATGAAATGCTATTTCTTTGAAATTTTCAGTGCTATTTAATAAGATATGGGTTCAACAGACACAATAAACACATTTTGTGAAGAATGAATGACAAAAAAATGTATGGGACTGAAAGAACCCCCAGAACTCACCAAACTCCGGTTCAAAGGCATCCAGGTCGACCTGCTCGCTGACCCCAGAACTGTCCTCAGCTTTCCTCTTCACGCCTGTGGGAGGCTTCATCTTCCACATTTCTTTACGCTGATTAACAAAGCAAAAATACTGCGTTAATTTAAGGGAGGGGGGGGGGGGAACCCAACCTGCCAACAAACAAAAAAGGGGGTGGGTGCAGACTGGAGAGATAAAACGACAGTAGAACAAAAATGAAACATGGAGAAGATGTGTGGAAAGGGGCATGAGAGAGATGAAGCTCACTTGGAACGAGCTAGGAAGGATGGCTCAGGACAGAGATAAATGAAAGGAGCTTGTATGTGGCCTATACCCAACCAGGGGTGAAAGGCATTGATTAATTGATTGATTGATTGATAGAACAAAAACGATGACAATCTACTCACAGCAATATCACAGCTTAAAATGAACAGAAAATAATCAAAGTGAGACACTTGTCTTTTCCAGTGGTGCACTCTCTCCGACTTACGGGCGTGCCAACATTTTCAAAACCCAAGGTTAAAACATCAAATTATGTAACAACGAACCAAGTGACATCATTTGAGATTGGTATGGGTGTTGTGTGTGTGTGTGATAAAGCTCTCAAATTCTTTATTGCCAATTACGGACAGTCTTGGGAAATTCGAGACAGTTAACAAACCCGAACTTATATATTTTCAAAATTTTACACATACGACTGATGTATTTAAAAGGTCCTATTCCCTCACACCTACCTGAGGTTTGACTTTGGCTTCCTTGTCCCGAAGAATGTACTGTGAAAACAACAAAGTCTTTAAGCTTTAGTAAAAGTTTTACGGCATTTGCAACACAATAAGGTCGTATAAGTGCCGAAGAATAGATGTGTTACAAGAGAGTAACACACACAAAAAAGAAGGAGGAGAGATAAGGACGATAGATCATGTTTGATGGGAAAGAAGGAGCAAACCACACCAGAGCACCCGCCAACCACCCACTCACAACACAACAACAAAGTCAGGTTCGTTATCAACATGACAAAATACTGCAACGCAACAAACGGTAAGGCCACAGTTCTGTGTAATTTAACAACACAAAAAAGGTTAAGTTTTAGTTTAGTAAAAGTTTTACAAAACTTGCAGCATAATTAGGTCATAGAAGTGCAGGAGATTAATTGTTACCAGGGAGTAACATACAAAGAAAGGAAGGAGGAGAGATAAGAACAATACACGTTTGAAGGGAAAGAAAGAGAAAACCAAATCAGAGCAACCACCAACCACCCACAAAGACAGCTTTTTAAATTAAGATTTTAGCAAAAATCAAAGTAAACTCATTCTGCTGCCAATGACAAGAATATTCTGCAACACAAGGTGTCATACACTTTTCTATTTTCATATAACTTCAAGTAACGTTAGCAAACCCGTAAATATCCGAAAACACTTGTCTCAAATACCTTCATAAAAGGACTGGCAAATAAACTCTTGACCTCCTTAGCCAGCCTCCTGGCCCCTGCATTCCTCAAGATCTGAAACATGGAAAATACAATGAAAACAGTCACTACAAGTAATAATAATAATAGATAGCATTTGTATAGCGCAAATCCCCGCTCAACAGCAAGCTCTATGGGCTTCACAATCTATACTATTACCCCAGCAGACCTGAGAGCATTCTGAAATAACCTCAACTTCCAGGGAAGCATACAGTGCGCGCTAAAACACTAACATACTGACAAGTTAGCACCTCAATGCTGACAACCTCTGGCTAAACATTGCAATGTTTTAAGATCACCAACCATATATCAGGCTTGTCACCTTTTTCAAAACCTACTTAGGGACAGCCAGCACCAAACGTTACATAACTTCAGACAGGGTTGTTTTAGTAGAGGTTTTATGGCGCTCGCAACAACATAAGGTCATATAAGCGCCAAGGGGTGGATGTCAAATAGTCAACAGAGAAGTCCTTACAGGGAATCAGGCTTACTCTGCTCACCTCTCTAGCTTCAACAGCACAAAGTCTGCTTCGACTATCAAGGCACCCCGGAAATAGCGGGTCACAAAAGTGTGACAAACATACCAAAGAAGTAGAGGCAAAATGACGATGGTGAAGATGAGGAAAGAAAAAGCAGCAGTTCCCTGTTGCAGTTCAGGCAGTTATGAGCATGACATTGATGAAACAGCCCATTTACAATTACAATTCTACTGTGCATAAGAACATGATTAATGTCCCCCCTTTGGGAATGGCCTAAAGACACTTCAGTCAGTAGCACCGCCCCGGTGAAACTTCAGATAATCACCTAACAACAACAACAAAAATTCATACAGTGAAACTGGTTTTGCTGTAGTGTATACATGATAAGGCTCTCAAATTCTTTATCGCCAAATTCGGGACAGTTCCTGAAATTTTTAAGAAAGAACCCCCCCCCCCCAAAAAAAAAACCAAAAAAAAACCAGGCTCTGACTCGTCCAAAGTAGGAGTACAAAATATACGTGAGGCATGCTGACACAATGAGTCACTTTTCAGATTTTAACCCTATAGAAATAGATACATAAATCAACGGCTGAAGTTTGTATTTATGTACAAGTAGGTAATAATAAAAGACATGTTATACTTAAAGAAAGTGGCATCAATGGAAAATCTGCAGATGACCCCATAGTACGAAAAAAAGTAAGAATTTTCTAAGAACTATTCGTACTCACATTTTCATTCAGTTCTTGGAAGGCTGCTATGGTCGGGGAATCTTTCAAAGGCACAACACAACTGCTGCCAAACATTGAGGAGGATGTGGCAACCAGGCCAGTTTCTGTGAAACAAACAAAAAGTTTATGATTTGCCAAAACAAAGAGGTGTCAAACTCAATTGCTCGGGGGAGGAGAGGGGAGGGGAGAGGAGGGGTTACCTCAAATTACTCGTAAGGTTGTGGGTCGAAGTGGAAAAACATTCATGGAGCAGTGCAAAACTAAACCTTTTTAAAATAATCATATGAATTAAAACAGATAAAAGTTTTAATAATAATGACAAATCAAGGCATAACAATTTTCACCCTTACGCCAATTTGTCGGAGCTGGATATCAGGCATCTATTCTTGGCAACAAGTTCTTTATGTTTGGAGTTTGGAGGAAGGTTTTGCATTATGGAGATTCTCATGATGGGACTACATAAAATTCTCTTGCAGGCTGGATATAATGATCTAATTGTTCACCGGGCCAGATGTGGCCAGCGGGCCTCAAGTTTTTGTTTGTTTTAGAAGAGGTTTTACTGCACTCCCAACTGTACTCCCCTCTCTAGCTTCAACACCACAAAGTCTGCTTCGACTATCAAGGCATCCCGGAAATAGCGGGTCACAAGAGTGGGACAAACATACAAAAGAAGAGGAGGAAAAATGACGCTAGTAAGGATTAGGAAAGAAAAGCAGCAGTTCCCTGTTGCAGTTCAGGCACTCGAATTGATGAATCAGCCCATTTACAATAATAACAATTCTACTGTGCATAAGAACATATTAATATCCCTCCTTTGGGAATGGCCTGAAGACACTTCAGTCAGTGGCAGGCCTCAAGTTTGACACTTGTGCAAGAGGTTATACTCCCCCCCCCCCCCCCCCCATAAAAATCGTCACATCGCAATATTGTCCTCACCAGCGATCTTCTGCTCGATCTGACCCAGCCTGTTGTCGAGGTGCGACATGTCGTGGGGACAGTTGAGGATGCTGTCTGCGTCATACTTTGGGTGCTCCACCACCGAGGGACGGGTCGTCGCTTTCTCCACCTGCACGGATAGGGATATGGGCACTTTAAAAGATCCGGAAACCTAATGTTCAGTTTTAGTAGAGGTTTTACGGCGCTCGCAACTGCATAAGGTCATATGAGCGCCAGAAGATTAGAGGCGTTACAAGAGAGTAACAAACATAAAAAGGAAGGAGGGGAGGTAAGGACGATAGATGTTTGATAGGAAAGAAGGAGCAAACCACATCAGAGCACCAGCAAACCACCCACAAACCTAATATGACTGCCACAGGGGGGAGCCTTTCTAAAGGGGATCCAGAAAGGGGTGGGGGTGGGGGGATGCCCCAACGGCTTTTCCTCAGAAAGCTTTGGAAACCTCAGACTTTTTAAAATTATTGTATTTCCAACTTTTACCTAACCTATTTTCATTGTAATTTATATAGAACTCTTTGTTTACAAGGCAGGAAAAAAAAAAATCAAAACGGCAACTTGGAAAAACTTTTGTGACTAAACCAAATGATTTTCCTTTCATTGAGGAAGCTTCTCTTGACTTGTCCATCCTTTTGCCCCCCCCGGTAGTTCCCCACAACCATCACCTGTTTCGTACTTCAACATAAACTGCAGAAACATTTACCTTTATCATAGCTCAAACAGCATTGAAACAGAGTTATTGTAGGCTTGCCAACTTTTTCAAAACTCAATCGGGGACACCCAATGGTTTCAGATTACGTAACAACAAAGTTACATCAACTGGGACAGTTTTGGGGTAGTGTATGGGATAACGCTCTCAAATTCCTAATTGCTGAATTCAGGACGGCCCGAGGAAATTTAGGATAGTTGGTGCACACCTTGTGAAACAAATCTCTCTGTGGGGCAGAGAAAATATACCGACCCTTTCTATATATAATAAATAAGAATAAGAAAGGAAGAAAGAAAGAGAGAGAGAAAGAGAGAATGAAAGAAAGAAAGAAAGAAAGAAAAGAAACAAACAAACCAAGAAAGAAAGAAAAAACAGATGAAAGAAATAAGCAAAAAAGAAAGAAAAGAACAGGTAGAACAACAACAACAACAACAACAAAAAAAAGAAAGAAAGAAAGATTTCTCTACCTTGACCAAGGCAAGTTCTCGAGCATGCAGAATGACGTTGTGTATCTCCGGCAGCGACTGTCGTACCAGGGGAGGGATGGGGTTACAGCACGCCAACACACCCTGGCGCTCGCGCGGGAGGATCTCCGCAATCTGGAGCAGCATGTGGTTGGGCAACACATACCTGTGGACGCAAAATCGGGTTTCATTTGTCAGTCAGAGTTTTACGACACTTGCAACGCATCATCATCATTGCCGTTTTCACCCTGGATCAGGATATAGGCCACGAACAAACACTCTCCACCTTTCCTTATCCTGGGTGAGTCGCTTGATGTCACTCCATGTCTTCCCACTTTTCTGCACATCCATTTCCGTGACTCTTCTCCAGGTTCCACGTGGTCTTCCCCTTGATCTTTTACCCTGTGGGTTCCTGCTTCTGTCCAGACAGTATCCAGTGGGTTTCGCTGACTCCTAGTATGTGCAGCCTGTATCTCTTCACCTCTTGTACTACTTGAGAACTCTTTCCTGCTTCATACAAGGTGCGAACATTCCACGACGCAATCCGGAGAGACTACTTGCAACACAAATAGGTCATAATGGTGCCATTCTGGTCAATATTTGCCCAGGTTATGGTTCTTTTCCACAAACTAAACAAACACTTCTTGAGAACCTGAACATAGGTCCCGCAGAAATGGGGAATACCTTTCTATAGAAAAAGAGTTTAACATAGGCTGCCTTAACCTTTGATCAAACAAGAACACCCAATGGAGATTTACAAAAGTAATATCATTAATATATCAATCATGTAAGAACACCCAATGGAGATATACAAAAGTATTATCATTAATATATCATCTACAGGCCACACCTCTGAGACAATCCACATTCTTCTGATACCAAAATCATTGCATGAGATCAAAAGAGCTCTATCTGCATTATAGATACTTTTGACAGAGATATAGGACTTCAAAGTTAGTGAATTTTAAACGCAAAAGCATATAGAACCTTCTTCTCGTGTATTTTTCTCGACGCAGAATATGTCATTCAGAGCAAAACACGGATCATCATGTAATGCGTTGAAGATAGAGCAAACTGTAGCTCAAAACAAAAATCATTTTTAAAAAGAAAACAAATCACATAGAATCCTTTTACTCTCATACGATGCAACATGGCTCACCCTAAGCTCTCGTCCTCCACCCTGGCTAACTTATCTCTCCAGTTGAAGAGCTCTTTGAAAGCTGCCATCTGCTGGTTGCTGAACGTCTTTTTGCTCTTCCTGTACAGCTCCAGGTGATCCCACTCGGAAAAACATGGTTTCCGGTAAACCTGAAAAACAAACAACCAAGAGGCATCCAGAACGAAACAATTCTCATTACTTTGCTAAACAAACACATCTTGAGAACCTAAAAATAAGTCGCACAGAATTGGGGAATACCTGTCCAGAGAAAAAGAGTTTATCATAGGCCGCCTTTACTTTTACCTTGTCATATCGTCGTCATCATTCACCATTCATCACCGTCGCAAGTGTCAAAATACAAAAGTTTTCGGGAGGGTAAGCAAAAAAATTGTTTTATTTTGGGCAAAACATTATGTTGAAATAAAAAGTTTAAATCATCTAAATCCGTTACTATATAGTGTGGTGGAGCCAGAAAGGTATATAGTGTAAAGCGCATAGAGCCTGCTGTTGAGCGGGGATATGCGCTCTACAAATGCTATCTATTATTATTATTATTATTACTATTTTAAGAAAGAGGAATGAGACTAAGGCCTCTCAATGCGCCTCATCAAACCGTACAACATACTTGACTTTCAATTTTAAAAAATTTTTGTGCTGAAATGTTGAATGGTGGTGCTGACAATAATATAAGTACGGCTTTACCTAGAAACACACTTTTTAAAAAACCAACCCGACTTCATTTAAACAATAAGTGAGGGGTGCTGACAAATAAATTAATTACTTCTTGGATTTTAGCCCCATGAAAATAGATATGTCAAATTTATAGGCTGAGCTTGTACGATATATTAGAATGAAATAACAGAAGACGTATTATATTTCAAGAAAATGGCGTCAAAAGAAAATCTACAAATTCGACCACAATGTCGATTTAAGGCTGATATCTCTATTCGCAGACTGTGAGAAGCAATTCCTTTGGTCAGCACTCCTCACAATATGAATCCAGTCATGAGCCCACTTTTAGTTTAGTTTTAGTAGAGGTTTTACGGCGCTCGAAACTGCATCAGGTCATATGAGCGCCAAAAGATTAGAGGTGTTACAAGAGAGTAACAAACATAAAAAAGAAGAGGAGATAAGGACTATAGATGTTTGATAGGAAAGAAGAAGCAAACCACACCAGAGCACCCGCCAACCACCCATGGCCCACCTTAGAAGCAACCATGGCGCTGCGGTCGTACACAGACACCAGGAGGTTGGCTTGCTCGTTTCCCTGGTCAATCAGCTGGTTCCTCATCATGTCGTAAATGTACAGGAGGTAGTGGGTGTCCTCTCGGGCGTAGCTGACAAGTTCAGCAGGCAGAGGTCTGGAGGGAAATCATCAAAACATTATTACCAATTTAAGATATCTCACACAAAAAAACATTATTCTTTTTAAAAAAATAATGTTTTAATTATTAAAAAACCCAGCAACCAACAACAACATCAAACAAATAAAAAAACAATAACAACCCGAAAACATGAACTGAATGTCATCAGGGTCAGACTTCACAGTATATCCACCAAATGAGGTCAAACACTTTTCGACTTTTTCTTTAGAGGGGGCTGAGCTCTTTCAGTCCCGAGGAGAAAGTCCAAATCTAGCCTAATGATGGACTCTATAAAAAGAAACTCAACCGTACTGAATCTAGCCCCCCCCCCCCCCAACCACCACCACCACACACACACACCTTATCCTCCAGTCGGCCAGCTGAAACTGTTTGTCTGGCTCCACGCGGCAGAAGTTCATCATGAGGTGGGCCAGGGAGAAGCGGGAAAAGCCCAGCACCCTGGCAGCCTGGCCCGTGTCGAACATGTTGACGACGTACACACCAAAGTCTCGCTGCAGCCACACGATGTCCATGTCCGCTCCGTGGAGGACCTGTGTGGAGAATAACAACAAGAGTTTGTTTTATTGTTTCAGTAAGTTTTACGGCACTTGCAACACAGTAAGGTCAATTAAGTGCCAAAGGTTAGAGGTGTTACAAGAGAGTAACAAACACAAAAAAGAAGGAGGGGAGATAAAGACAATAGATTTTTTAAAGGAAAGCAGGAGCAAACCACACCAGAGCACCCACCAACCACCCACAATAACAAGAGTAATTATAACAGAAATAACAAAAAATTTTAAAAATAATACTAACATTAACAATAAAGATTATTTCAATAGCATCAAGAAGTAGGACCTACTAGTGACGCCCTCCACCCATCCGCAAGACAAAAACTTAAAGATGTCCACAAAGCTTACTTTGGTGATGGAAGGGTCGGCAAACACTTCGTTCAGTTTGTACATCTCGCTCCTGAGTTCCAAAACATCCACAATGTAGTCATGAGACCTGGTGGAGATTTGCATGAGGCAAGTCAAACCCTGTGGAAGATAATGACAACAATAACAACAACAATAATAATAAACAATAAATAATAATAATAATGACAATAGAAATTTATCTAGCGCCTAAACCTCAAAAGACTTCAAGAGCTGTGCAGCGCAGAATTATCACTCAACTTAACAGACAAATCAAAAGACAGAAAAGCCACATTATGAGTATATTTAACAACACACACAAAAATGCCAACCAAAAGCCGTAAAATGTACATTTCGAGACCATGTACCTACAAACACACACACACAGCTGACCAGGAAACTTGTTTTTGTTTTGTTTTAGTAGAGGTTTTTCGGCGCTCGCAACAGCATAAGGTCATATGAGAGCCAGAAGATTAGAGGTTTACAAGAGAGTAACAAACACAAAAAAGTAGGAGGGGAGATAAGGACAACAGATTATGTTTGATAGGAAAGAAGGAGCAAACTACACCAGAGCACCCGCCAACCACCCACTGACCTGGAAACTGCGGTAGGTGTGAGCCTCCAAATCAACGGCAAATTCCACTTGTGTCTTGAGGTGAGCGAGGAGCTCGTCCAGCTGTTGGCTCGTCTCCACCATCATCAACGGCGTCAGCCGCACGGACTGGGGCTCCTGTACACCATCACAGGACAGGATTTAGTTCAGTTTTAGTTAAGTAAGAGTTTGATCATTTATGGCACATGCAACACAGTTTTAGTTTTAGAAAGAGTTTTACGGCGCTCGCAACGGCATAAGGTCGTATGATTAGAGGTGTTACAAGAGAGTAACAAACATAAAAAAGAAAACGGGGAGATAAAGACGATAGATGTTTCATAGGAAAGATGAAGCAAACTACACCAGAGTACCCACCAAAAACCCACAGGAAAAGATTAATTGAATTTTAATGAGTAAGAGTTTATCATTTATTATGGCACTTCAAACACAGAAAGGTCATATAAGTGCCACAGATTACAGCTGTTACTATAGAGTAACATAAATCCAATATTTTTTTTATTTTTTTTTATAACGTGTTATCAGATTTGCTAGTATCTGTGGGCAATATTTATACAACATGTAAATTGATTCACAAATAAGTAATTCACATAGAAGATGCATTGTAAACCAAATTTCCCCACAGAGGTAAACAAAATTGGGTGTTTCAAACACTTACATAGCAAAAAGATTACCCGCAGCCTGCCAATTTCGCTATGTGCGTACCAGATTGGAGATTAAAACAAACAAAATGATTACCTGAGGAGTGACTTTTTTTAGCTGCTCCGGGCTAGGCCTGAATCTCTCAAGTTCAACTCGATAGGGATGTGGGTAACTGCAACAAATTGAAAAAAAAAACATTTTTCTTTTTCAAATGTAAGAGTTTTTACACACACCCCCCCCCCCCCCCCCCCTCCACACAATTGAAATCATTCAGGAGGCAGGCTTCCCACCCTGCCTGTCAGGATCAACACGGGCTGAGAGAGATACAACACAGCAACAAAAAGAACAAGATACTCTAAAAAAAATTCTCCCCACTCGGGAGTCAAACACAGTTCTCCTGTGTGTGACAGAGAAGCACCTAACCACTACACCACAGACGCCGGTAGCAAAAAATAAAGAGATTTACTGAACAGTTTCTTACATAGCTTAGACAACTCAGAGAGGGAAAATCTGACTCACATCAACAACAGTGTACGAAGACTCCTGCTATAAGCAATTTAACCACGGCAGACTTTTCATTATTACAGGCACTTTTTAGTAAAACCCCATCTCCTCATGTCACCAGTCTGCTCATGTACTCACACAAAATCTGGCCTTTCTGTGTCCTCCAGTGTTACTCCCTCTGGTAAATGCAAGCTCTCTGTGGATTACCCGAAAGCAATTTTTTTAAAGCGTGTCAAAACCAATATAATACATAAAAAAAGAACCGCATTTTTAACACTTATCAGGAGTGTGGTTGACAAAGCTAAAGGAAATGTTAAATTTTCCACCCCCCAAAAGAAGAACATTAGTTTTTAATATGCTCCCTGCTTTAAGTAAATCAAACAGAATAAATAAAAGACTTACTTATAAATCTAAATCATTATTCATAAAGGCAATATGGTGTGCACTGGTTACATAGTTCTGCAAGAAAAGGAGATAGTAATAATAATAATAATTGCATTTTTATAGCGCATATCCATGCTCAAGAGCATGCTCTATGCGCTTTACAACTATTAGATAGTAAGCCTTTTAAGGAAGCTTTATGCTGTGCCTTTTATGAGAATGAAAATGCATAGGTCCTTCCAGTATGAACTGTGTTAAATAAAATAAAAGGCAACACTTTCCCTTCCTCAAAAAATATCAAAATCTAGTTCCTCACCTTCTAGAGAAATTACAGCGTGGGGCTTGTTCCTTATCTGTGGTCTGTACGGGTTATTGCTGTTGTCAATTTTATCTTGGAAGCGCAGCTGAGGCCTTTGAATATTACGAGCAGTAAGTAGCCTGTAAGCAGCTGCTGGCTTGCTGGAGTTGCCCGGGGGCTGAAATTAAACCAAAAAGCATATTATGAGCAAAATCAATGGAGTACATTTGGCTTTGTTAGAGTTTCACAGAACCGGAAACACAAATAGGTCATATAAATGGACAAAGTTTAGAGGTTTTGTTTGTTTTAATATGTGTTTTACGGCAATTGCAACACAATAAGGTCATATAAGTGCTGAAGATTAGATGAGTTACAAGAGAGTAACAAACACAAAAAAGAAGGAAGGGAGATAAAGACATACTTGTTTTGTTTGTTTAGTATAGGGTTTTACGGCGCTCGCAACTGCATAGGTCATATGAGCGCGCGGGACACACCTAATACTTTTTCGTTGGTAGGAAATTTTGAATTTTGCCCGGGTGGCGGCCGAAGCCTACTCTTATCGATTTTAGACCACCAAGGGATCTTTAACGTGCGCAACTTGCACACGGGCCCTCCGAGATTTTTCGCCCTTGTCCGAGAAGGCTAGGTGTAGATCTTTCCTACCAGAAGATCAGGGGTGTGGCAGAAAGACAGCAGTTAGGAGGAGCCAAGAAGTAGCAGTAGAAAGGCTGCAGAAAGAGTCAGGAGCCCAGAGGAGGGGGCAAAGGAGGTGAGGGGGTGGGGGCAGAAAGTGGAAATGAAAGCAGACAACAGAAAATTGTCAGAGATCAGGAAAGGATGCGAAAGGAGACAATTTTAGAGAAGAAAATTTTTTGGTCGCTACCCGGAATCGAACCCGGGACCTTTGAATGAGAGGCCAACACCTTAACCTCTAGGCCACGAGAGCCCCCCACATACTTGTTTGATAGGAAAGGAGAAGCAAACCATACCAGAGCACCCGCCAACCACCCAAACAAACAATGTAAGAGTTACAGCCTGTGGTTGAGCTCTTTATATAGATTTAGAAAGAGTTTTATGGCACTTGCAACACAATAACATCATGTAAGTGCTGAAGATTATTAGAGGTGTTGGTAGACAGAAACAAACACCCAAAATTTATTTTATTTTTTTTATAAATTTTTAAAAATAGATGTTTGATGGGCTAGAAGGAGCAGACCATGCAAATAGGAATAGGGTTGTTGTTTTTTTAGGTGCTGATATTTAACTCAATCAGGTCCTTATCACAAATTAACATACAACTTTCTGACAAACACCCACCTAGTCATGATGAAAAAAATACTAAGAAAGAGAACAGAAGGGGCACCTTTTTGTTCCAGCTGGTCGCTGACTTGGACGGAGTGTAGGAAGCCGCTGCCACAACCAGTTTCTTCTCCTCCTTGCGAAGCCCAGACGCCTCGTCCAATGATGCACCCTGGCAGCATGATAAGAAAAGACAGCTTGCTCATTAAAGTATCCAACTCAAGATAGGAATAGTTGCATACTAAATAAATTTTTCCTATGGGTTTATGGTCAACATAAACAGAAAATAATCCCCTTGTTAACTTAAAATTGTCAACTTTTTTAGATTTTGAAAGAAGCAGAAAAAAAATCATATAATAGTTTCATCACTTTTTTAAACTCCTGAATTACTTTCCAAAACCAAAATAAATATATAAATATAGATCTATATCATTTAGAAAAGGTCAATGTATAAATGGTATGAAAAATTTGTTTTTCATGACAAATTACCGAAGAAGTTTGCGAAAAACCATTTCCTATTGTTCATGATATCATCTGCCAGCCGGTCAGATGTACTACGCTTAATATTTCAATTATTTTTTTTTTACTTGCAGTTTCTTAATCTGTGGTAAAGCTTGCATTGTATACATGCTCAAAAGATATAAGACCAAAGTTGAAATTCTACAAATGAAAAAGTCAAGAAATGATACATAAAGCAGGTACAACGGTTTAAAGAATGAAAAACTATTCTCTATATCCCCTCAAAATTTTTGCTTTCTGAGCCTAAAACATTTTAACAGCTTGCCAACATTTTTTCCCCTTTCTACTTACCACTCGTTCCAATAGCTGGTCATTCACATCCATCAGAATGTCAAATTTGTCCTCAAGCTCCGTGGTACTGCCATGCCGAATATTTCCTTTCACATTCTGATGCCTCAGGATTCTCTGCAGGCTGATCATAAAGGAGAATTAGTTGTGTCAATATAACATATGTTATGACAGTTTTCTGCGGTCATTTCATTTTCCCAGCTAAATACAAATCTAAAATTATTTTATGCGACATTGGGAGCTTCCAGTATTAACATCAAATAAACAAATTTTGAGCCTAGGTTAGCTGGGCTTTATCACTTCTGAGAGACTGGCTAAGAGCACAAATGAAAGAAAGATAAAAAGGAAGAGAGAAAATGGCGATGGAACAGACACGAGTTGAATACTGTATACAGTTAAGGGTTTCATTGCAGTACTTGGTAGGTTTGCAGAATAGAACTTAAAGGGACTCCCCAATGTCAATGTCAGATGAATAGAAAAAGAAAAAAACATTATGGTGGAGGTACACATGCTAAGAGACAGGGAAAGATTTAGACACAAAAGAAGAAAGATGCACCATACAGAATGAGACATGATCTTGGGAGGGAAATTTTTTAAGGCTTAATTACTATTGAAAGTTAAAAAGAAAATAAATTAGTGCACATTTAACTAATACAAGATTAAGATACAATAACTTGAACAAGAAATTCAAAGATAATAAACAATTCCTTTTTTTTTGGGGGGGGGGGGGGGGGGGTTAATAAGTGTTTTACAGCACTAGCAACACAATAAGGTCATTTAAGTGCCGAAGACTAGAGGTGTTGCAAGAGAGTAACAAATACAAAAAAGAAGGAAGTGAGATATAAGGATGATAGATGTTCGATAGGAAAGAAGGAGCAGACCACACCAGAGCACCCACCACCATTATAATCTATATTTAAAAATGTGTGCGTGTGGGTGGGGGGGAGTGACCATTTGTACAAAGGTAATTGTTTTCGACAGGCAACTTCTAAAGCAGGTTCCACTGTATTAACTTACACGCCAAGGATCCTTCGGCCTTCAATGTCCATAACATCCCGAACAGACCGAAAGGTCGAGTAAAATTCATAATCATCTCCAACAGGGAGACCATTTGAGCTTCTAGTAGCCTGCAAAACAGCTTTCAGGGCTTGCTGTGAAAAACCAGAGACAACTCAAATTTACCATTAACTGCCTGATTATAGCTTAAACATTTACAATTTACACAAACTACGCAAAAATGAGATTAAATGTTAATTCAAGAGAGATTTAAAAACAACGAAACAAAGTCATAAGACCTTTCACCTAATTTACTAATAAACAACTGCACAAACAGTAGAACTTTACATGTCCTGAAACTTCTTTCATGAGACCTACTACCCAAAAAATGGCGTGAGAACAAGTTTTGGAGAACTGTAAGAGTAAGCAAGTATATAGATATCTACACTGCAGTGAAGAGGCTAATTCTGTTTTGGTTCAAACTTCCGTCTCAACATTTTGCACACTAAACGGGGTGTACGTTGAATATATAGATGTCCTCAGACTTCAGAAATTAAGTTAATTCTCACACTTAATTTACTTCATCGAGTCATTCAACTCCAATATCAAACAGATCTGAAACATATCATTCAGTCAATACAGTTAGGCTTCTTTGTCAATTTGTATTCCCTGACACTGCCACAGATATTTTGTTTTTGTGGTACAAACATCAAGACGTCAAATCCTTCTGCTATCTTGGGAGTATAATTGACAGACAGGGAGAAACAGGCGTTCAAATTAAGTCCTGTGCCGTATTGAAAAGGCACAGACTGCATTTATTTCGGTGATCTTATACTTTAGCACGTTAAATTCTTCAATTGAGGACTTCCGAAACGAGCGACCACTATCAGATCTGGATCAAAATTCTGTGTCATCAAGATTATACTCAATGGCTTCCAAAATCATGATGGAAGACTGAAAACCACTGTTATACGATCTGTTCATGACAAAATTAGGGTAGTTTGCACATTTTTAGGCCCAGTTCAAAGTTTTGAAGGTCTGGGTCGGGGATTAGTAGACTTTGGGAATTTAACGTGCTAAAGTATAAGATCACCTTTATTTCTTCGTTTGAACAGGATTTGGAGGACCAGGGATATCTCACTACGAACAAAGCTGAGGACTTTCCAACTCAAATCTGTTGTATCGATATGAGACATGGAACATATCTGGTCTTAAAAACGTCGTATAAAGAGGATCCAGATTTCCTTGAACAAGTGTTTGAGGAAGCCTCTGAGGATCAGATTGATCTTTTGGAGAGGAAATCTGATTTGTTATGAACCGAAAGTCGGAAGTTGGAAGAAGCAGACCAACAATCTCTGACCAAAAAAACAATTTTTTGTTTCACAGTTTAGAAATCATAGACCCAGCCTTTGTTTTCGTGCTCTCTCCCAACCTGCCACCCTCCCCCCACCATTTCTCACTCCATCCAGGTGTAAAAGGGGTAGATCTAGATCTACCAACTAAGGAAGTGGTTATTCTCACCCATGTCTCGTTATTCTCACCCCCTTGTTTTACCAGAAATGAATGTAGATCAAGGCAATCAAGGTGGTTCGCACGTTAGGCTGCAGCATCTGTAAGAAGAGATGACCGCCTCCAGGTAGCTCCAGATGGCAATTAGTAAGACCCAAATCTAGATCTAGTTTACATGATTAAGTAGCCTAGTGTCAGTGAAGTGTGTAGTGACGGAGTGTGTGAAGACCTTAGTCTTAGTTTAGTAACAGTAACACTACAGACAACAGTGGACTAGATCTACCTACAGTCCTACAGAGTTTAAGTTAACAACAGTTCATCAGTGCACACACAGGACTACACAGTTTAATTAAGCCTACGTATCATACTAAAGCTAATAGATCTAACACATCTTTTTGAAAACTTTTCATCCTAAAAGATCAAACACCTGAGAAAATTCGTTCACGTCCGCAAATCCTGGAAATATACAGGCTGAATCAGACTCATTACAGTCAGCATCATGCACGACATCCGATGTGCTGGACGCCGCCATTTTGAAAGAGCGAGCACTGTGAGAGTAAAGTTGAGGAAAATCCGGTATGAGTAAAACTTTGAAATTTTCTAACGAAACGAAATTTTGAAAGTGAAAGCACACCTCTTCGGAGAAAAAAAAAGTTGTTAAAAAACCGATTAATTTGGAAACTGTTTTCAATACCGACGTAGATATCTAGTAAATTTGAGCTGATTCTTTTAAATATAATAATATATATTTGAGATGCAAATCAATCTAAATGTCAAGATTTTCCAGACAAGAGCGGTGGGGAGACAGATAATAATAGTTTTTAGATAATAATAATAATAATAATAATAATAGGTAATTATTTAATATTCACCATCCTTGTTCCTGTGAGCAACTGATTATTTTTATGTCATGACCACACAGAAGAGGCGAAGTGGTAGGCCTAAACAGATCATCAGTATTTTCCTCACATACAGTAGAATCTCTGGCCACAGATTTTCTTTCACCCGCCCAATATAAGAGATATGATAGAAAAGACTCGCATCCGTCTCCTCAAACAACATTCTCAAAGGAAGAGCAAATTAAGTTCTCGATCAAGGCCACCAAATCGAGCACGCAGTCCCCATGCCTATAACGCTGAATGGAAGGCGAGATTGAGAGCTGAATTTTGGGAGATTGAGAGCTTCGCCTGTTAGGCCTACTTTTGGTTTTGTAAGAGTGTCACGTACGGTACTTGCAGCACACATAGGTCATATATATAGGTGTCAACTAGTATTTTTTAAATAGTGGGAAGTAGTGCTGTAAATTATCCCGTATTCTGCGTGATGGAGATTTGTAGTAATTTATATAAATTTATGAAGAATTTTTAAAAAAATCTAGTCTGGATTGTTGTGGAGAAAATGATTACGTTAAGACAATTTGATACAAACTGTTGTGCTAAGTATGGGGGACATTGATTCACCCATTAAAGAGATGTTTGAGGAGGAGTTACATCATGAATTTTTGAGCGCACTATAGAGAGTAGGCGCACAAATTAACAAATTAATTATGGGAGATGATAACGATCACGCATGCAGTTCCTACACTCTTGTCTTCCTTGCATATCATGCACCACTTAACCAAGTCTCCCATTTTCAAATAATTGACTTGCTTGGTTCGAGTATTGTGTTACCCTACGAGATTGAAGGCAGACCCAGACAATCGTGGGCAATCCATACCCTACCCTATCCACCAGCAATTTTTTTTGCAGAGGGGACATAACCACTAGGATACTGGCAACAGCAATACATTTTAACAGCTATTTCCCCTACACAATGCTCGTGATTGGGTATGTAATTATGTCTTGTCATCAGACATCAGGGAGTATTGAATTACATGTATTATAATGTCATGTACGGCTACATTACCACGAGAACAGCTGAGCATCGCCTATTAATTATTATAGTAATAGTGCGTCATTATGTAAGCTTTCTTGTATACTATATTATGTACTAGTACTATAGATATTAGGCCTTGGTTATTTGAAGATTTTATTTCGACCTCCCGTCATTGGTCGACAGTTGAGATGTGAACAGGTTTTCCTTTTACAAACTCACTTGACATTGTAAAAGAGGTATAGATTAAAGGAGAATTGGGAGGTGGAAGTAAACTGAAGTGAATGGTGGAGATTCTATGGTAATAGTGTCAGAGCAGCGGAACTTTGCTCTAAGGCCATTATATGTTATTATTTTGTACACATTATTTCCCACCTGTTGTTTTCGGTGAGGACCTACACTTCACCCAGGTGTGGTTAAATGGATGCCGGCCATGAACGGCGAAAGATCTTGTCAATTCAGTTTGTTAGTGTTTGTGTTTCAGGCAGTAAAGGAAGACACACAGGTGAAAAAATGGAAATAGATTGGGCACAACCTGACGAGACCCCCGACAAGCATCATCAGATAGGCTCTGACGTGGAATCCACAAGGAACACATAAGAAAGGAAGACCAAGGATGACATGGAGGCGACCGGTACAGGCAGAAATGGGAAAGGTGGAGATATGGAAACAGGTAGAAAAGGGTGCACAGGACAGGCTTCGCTGGAGAAATGTGCTGATGGTCTATGTTCTACTCATGGGAGTTAAAAAGGGCAAGAGAGAGAGAGAGAGAGAGAGAGAGAGAGAGAGAGAGAGAGAGAGAGTATTTAGGTGGGTTAGGGGAGGGGATTTCAGTTGGGAATAGATGTGGGCTTGTTTTGTGTGTGTATGTGTGTGTGCGTGTGTGTGTGTGTGTGTATGTGTGTGTATGTGTGTGTGCATGTATGTGTGTGAGTATGTGT